AAAAAAAAAAAAAAAAGACTTTCCAAAGAGAAAGAAACGTGCACACATACAAATACACACACACACACACGTGCGTACATGAGCTTATTATAAATTCTTATTGATATAAAGACTGAGTAGCACATAATTTACAAATAATAAATATACAATTATCTTTACTGAAAATTCCATATAATCCTTTGATTCTCACAATGCTTTCTCTGAAAATGTCTGCCCAATCCTGGGATCCACAGTCAGCCTGTGCTTGCTCTCACCAGAGTGTGGATGCTGTAAGTGCAGGCTGGTGTTTCTCAGTGAAGGGCTAAGACTGAAATGAGGCAGCACATTTCAGAATGTCCCCCCTCTGTCAAATACGTGAGTGACTATGTTGAATTGGGTAACTGTTCTCAAACGCTGGAGAACATTCCCTCAGCTTTGTGATGTATTCACAATACAATGGCTATAGACACAGTATACTTTGATGTCTGATCTGCATTATTAACATCTGCTCGATAACCTTCATAAGTCTAGACAATCAACAGTACAACAAATTAAGCACTGATCTGTAGCAGTTGCGGATTTCCATGGTATAAAAATACTCCCACCACGGCTGATGTCAAGGCACCAATGTGAGGTCACTGAATCTGGCACTGGGAAGGGATGCTGACCAGGGTGACCAACTTCCTAGTTTGCTCAAGACCGTCCCAGTTTCAGCTCTGAGAAAATCCCTCAGCTCTAAGCAAACTGGCATCAGGGGTCGTCCAAGGACAGACACAAAGAACTGCTAAGGACTAAGCAGGTAGAAAGGAAGTGAGGATGGGAGTCGGTAGGAACGAAGTAAAAGGATCAAACAACTGTCCTATCTTGAGGACCTGAAACAAAAGCAGCGTAAGCCAAGCATAAGCAAGTTAGAGGGTTACCAATCTGGGTTCAGAACAGGTCTGAATCAAGAGGGCACAGGTACTGCGGCGTGATGTGATCACGTGAGTGGGTGGCCGAAGTGCCATGGAGACAAGGGTCCCGGAGTCCAGGGGTCAAGGATCCGGGAGCCCGGCATGTTGGCTGGTTTGTCCTAAAGGATACTGATGTGACCCAGGATGATGGCAAATTCCTGCCAAAATAATGGCCACATTTTCTATAATTAGTTGAGGCTGAACCACTGAGGAGTTATTATTTTGTATTTGAAAAATTGTATTATTTTTTCCCTAGGAGAAAAAAATGGGATTCTCCCTATAAAAGTGTATAGATTATATATGATGTTTGACCATCCCTTTCTAATTTGAAATAATAAACCATGCATTAGGTCCACAAACCTTTCTTTTTTTTTTTTTTT